CATCCAACATCCATGCTGTCCTATCATCGGTCTTGTCCTCATTGGGACGGATTAACTATAGGCTGGACCACTTGGAATCTAGTGACAGACCGGATTCACCTTCTGGATTAGTTACTCCACAACCTATAATTCTCCCCAGCATCCAAACTGGTAAATCCACTGGTCCACTGGTCCTCTAAAAATCCCGAACATCATCAACCCAGCACATATGGTACCGTCCAACATTAAGAAGGATATCTCCGAAGGCAAAGATGTCAACCTGGTTTTACTACTGATTGTCTCCCAAGATATACTTGAGAACAAAACATACTTTTATGGTGATGTCTCTGTTGTACTGAAGGCTAGGGATCCCAGGTTGAATAGGAAATTATCCATTCCTGAGTCATCCTAGCCTTAGGTATATATAGGGATGTGGTATGCTCTGTGTATCCGGAATGCAGAGAGGAGTTTGACCTGTACTTACACAAACTGGTGGACTTGGATGGAGGTACATCATTTTACGATTACCATAGATCATTCTCCGCGAAGGCATCTGCAGCACTGGCACAGTTCAGTTTACAGTCTGACTGGAGCCTGTTGGACACAGAGCTATTTTGCAGGCACTTCAAGGGCCTCAAGACACCAGCTTGTGCTATTTTCTCCTCCACCTTCAATGCAATCAACCTTTGCCCTAATACCTCTGAGGTTGATACAATCTTCCCTATCTACAGTCCGCCCTAGCCAATCCTGAAGTAGTAAACGCTCTATTAAAAGTAGAGGTTGACCAAGGTTCCCTACTAGGGCTTTTCAGTTCCCCACCTTTCTCAATATGGAGAACTAACCCCATAGGGGTGGTCTCAGGGACAAATTCAACAAAACAAAGGTTAATCATCGACCTCTCTGCTCCTCACTCTTCCACAATTCCTAGCCTAAACTAGCTAATTAATTCAGAGGAATTCTCCCTCTAATATGCCACAACTGATAACGCTATTCTGACAGCAGGGACTGGGGCATGGCTCAGTAAGACTGAGATCATTAACGCCTTCAAACTCCTCCCAATTCATCCCTCTCAGGATTTTTTATATTTTCGCTGAGACATTGTGCTGGCTACTGCTTATCATCTATAGATGCCCCTCGGTCATACAGTATCTTGACAACTTCCTGACAATAGAAAGTAACCTTTACCGCCCAGTAGCCTCAAAACCACAATCCAACATTTTGAGTATTTGAGGGTCCCAGTCTCCCCTAAAAAGACGGAAGGACCTGACATATTGGTAAATTTCCTAGGTATCACACTAGATTCAGGTAATATGCAAGTCAGCCTGCCTAAAGAGAAAATTGACCGTATTCTAGCAACATCAATTTATAACTGTCAACAGGATCTTGTAATTGTAAAGAACTACAGTCTCTGCTAGGTTCCCTCAACTTTGCCATGAAAATAATTCTTCAAGGATGGGCGTTCATATCTTGACTGCTCAGCCTGCTTCCCAGCTTTCAGTCAGATACTTCCTGGATTTCATTGGATATTCCTGCCACCTCGGATTTGCGCATGTGGCAGTAATTTCCCTTAGAATGGAATGGGAAATGTATGTTTATCCCTTTACTAACTACCAACTCCCTTACAATTTGGACTGACATGGCTGCCACCACCGGCTATGCTGCAATTTTTGGCGATCAATGGTTATGGGGTGTTTGGCCTATTGAAGTGAAGGGTGTCCCAGGTTTCACTACCACTTCAACCTTATTTGAGCTCTACCCAATTGTGGCAGCAGTATGGTCAGGTCAGGCAGTTAGATGTTTTTTGGACAACTTGGCCACATGCCACATAATTAATAAAGGTCATTCAGCATCTCTGACCATAATGCGCGTTCTGAGGAAACTAACTTGGTTGGCTGCTAACTATAATTTATTTTTGGTATGTGTCCATATTCCAGGCGTTCATAACATGGTGGCTAATCACTTATCTTGTTCTCGATTTCAGGATATCCACAAAGCATTACCAACGACAGCCATGGTAGCTACCCCGGCACCGTCATGGCAAGACATGATGTTGGACTGGGAAATCTGTTAACTCATGGCAGGCACCTCTCACATTTGGCCCTGTCTGATAACACCAAAAAATTGTATGATAGGGCATTCTGTATTTTTAACAGGTTTTTGTTAGAACTTCATGTTGTAAATAAATATTCAATGGAAACTCTTGTAGCTTTTACTCATTTTTGCCACCTTAAGTTAAAATGATCGTTTAACACCATTAAATTATTTTTAACCGGTATACAACACAATACACTTACACAATGACCAAACACCCACAGTTTCTTGTCATCTGTCACGGGTGGCGGTCCGTAGATTGGGACCCCTGTGTGCCTGATGATGATGATAGGAGTCACAGCATGGAAATGGACTATCAGGGCCTGGTGCAGGGTAACTACACACCCCCTGGTGTTGAGCACCAGCATTTGTGCTGCCACATACCAGGGCCCTGATGCAGCTTCTGTGGATCCCAGGTGCTAGATGATAATATGCAGACCTCCCAGGATCTGGATAGGGAGGCTTTGCAGCAGGTATGTATCCAGTACTAGAAACAAGGCAAGACTAGAACAGGCACCAAACAAGATAGCAAGACAAGACTAGAAGAACCCAGAACCAGAGAAGGACAGAAAGCAGAACCCAGAACATGTACACAATACATGAGGGAAACATGAACAATACATGGACAGGGCAGGGCAGGACAGGATACGACTGTACATGAACTGGGAATACAAGACAAAGGAACACAAGACAAGAGATACAAGGCAAAACAAGAGGAGAAATAACTCCTATAAGTATAATATATAATATATATGTACTATATATGTAATAAACATTGGAGATTTAGACATACATAAATGGCCAAGATGTATGCAGCCCATACTTAATAAAATACAAATAACCACAACATGCCAGAAAACATACAGAGAATTATAATAACATAACATTTTTATAAATGGGTGGGGATGACAATATTAAACACAAAACATCTCTCCTGCCTGCAGAAACATCAATATACAAATCTACCCAAATATGCAAATTAGCAATCCTTGCTATTTAGGTAGTGCATTCAGCAGTTGCTAGATCCTTGCAACCAACTGGTGGTGCTGTACAGGCTCCACAGCCAAAACCACCTAGTTGAAGGCAAGCATTAGCAAGACAGGAGAGTACACTAACATTTAACCCCAAACAACCACATTACACACACACTGTGGTGGGACATCACCATTAGTGCCATGCCCACTGAGTATTCAGATGTTTGGTTTTAGATTTTGTGTCCCCAATATATACTGTGATGATTTCCCCTTGTTAAATATGTGTTCACCCTTGTATTTGTAATAATGTATGGTGTATTTCACTTTTCAGCCACATGGGGGCGCTCCGGCGCACGGTACACACCCCGCTATTCCAATTAGAACGTGTGGTTAGAATGTTCACACCTCGCTAACGAGGTGTGAAACCGCAAACCGCAAGTTAATGAGCGGCGTGTGCTGCCCCTGGGTGGCCGCCGGTTCGTATAGCGGAACGCCACCAGGGGGAAGTGTTCGTATGCCGAACCAGCCTGCTCGCCCTGTCTTCGGTCCCCTTGTCGTGGACCGCTCTACCTGCTTCCAAGGAAGCTGTAATCACTGTCCCCTGTCCCCTATCTGGGAGCTACGAGGCTAGGCTCGTGGCTACCCAGAAGAACACTCTCTCCGGCGGATGCCTGAGTGTGGATATCCACCGGAGAGAGGGGCACGCGCCGGCAGGGAGTCCCTGGAGCTGTGAGTCGGTCTCACGGCAGCAGGGTTCCCGCTGGCCGCATGGAAGTCTGGGCCAACCAATGGGAGAGGGAGCGCCCATTCAAACTGGGTTCGCACCATTCTCCTGATTGGTCGGCACAATTAAAGCGCCGATTGGTCGCCGCCAGGAGAATAAAAGAAGCCTGTAATCAAGAGAGTGTAACTCAGCCTGGTGAGCTGCCAGTATTTTAAACCTCCAGACTGTGTGTTGTCCTTTTACTGGAGGGAAGGAAGATTTAACCCCTGTGTCTTCTGTTGCAGCTTACAGGATTCAAAAGATTTTAACCCTGTGTCTGCTGTTTCAGCTTGCAGGGGAGGAAAATAGGGGGAAAGTCCTGCTAAGGACTAGGAGCTTTCTGGGCTGAGTGTCGTCTCAGCCTGGGAGCAGGATACTAGGAACTCATCCTGCTACATACACCTTGCACCCACAATGGACACAGGGTGACTTTAACATGGGAATAATCCAGGGCCCTATATAAAATATCTGTATGAAACCCTAGGTGATGGTGACTACCGTCATAGGTGTTACTAGAGTTCTAGGGCTTGCAAGTTCATTGCACAGAATGTTAGTGTCGACTGCCGCAGCTTCTGTCTTCTGCAAATGCTGAAAGCACATCATTGGACCACCAAAGAACATCAGAGTACAGCGAGGACTTACGTAAGGGGCAAACTGTTGCTCAGTGGTTTGCTCCTTTACCAGTGAACCGGGCCAGGGAACATCTGGCATCATAAGCACTATAGCTGGTTGAATTGGTTATGATGCTGGGAATAACCCTTTAATTTTAGAGCTGTACAATAACAATAAATGTGCCGTCTCCGTGGTACTACCTGCTGATTGACTCCCTGCCCCCTCCCAATGTTTTATTATGTACGAATCCATTACATTATCAGATGGAATAATTTATTCAAATGTTTCAAAAAGTTGCGGCTTTTTATATCAATTTACTAATATTTTTCTTCAGGTTTGTTTGAACAAACATTAATAGACTGCAACACCTGCGAAGAGATAAAGACCATTTGTGCGGGAGGTCCTACTGACTGCCAAGGTAAAGAGTTTCCATTCACTTTACATTTAAGTATGTTTGATAATTAATTATGCTTTTACATGCTGAAATCCTATATGTGACATCTCATCATTTTGTCATGAAAATGCAAAAAACTCTGGAAGTAACTCTTTGGAAGATAGAAACACACAAGATCACTCAAGTGGTCCCCAACCCAGTCCTCATGGACCACCAAAAGTCCATGTATTTCCTTTTTTTATTAAAATGGAGATACTAACAAAACCTGGACTGTTGGTGGTCCATGAGGACTGGGTTGGGGACCGCTGATCTAGATCATGTGATAGGAAAGTGACAGGTAACACAGGTTTTTCATTGCTGCATTAGATCCATGTGACTGGTAATTAATGAGATTCCTGCAGCCTAAATACATGGAGAGAGTATGATATCTATACTGCAGATCATATTGTAGATATATTGTAATATAGTAGATGGACCAGGCTATAGACTTCGAAGGCTTGAATAAAAATTTCAAAAAATCCAACATAAATCGGTCGGAAGGATTAGAATTGATCACAGTGGAAGATGATGATAAATGAGGTGTAAAATTAAAAAAGCCTTGGTTCTAGATATATTTACAAACCAGCTTTTTGTTAACAAATCACCTTAATCTCCAATGTAGAGGCCAATCTTAGAGACTATAATAAAATCCAAAACATTTATTGAAAAATTATATAAAATAAATATCCAAATCACATCCGCAAATAAAACACCTTAAGGTGAATGCAAATGGTTCCCATCATCATGAAGCTGAAATCCACTTTACATGCTCTGTTTGTATATTTGACCCTGGTACTTTAGAGAGATTGCCATTGAACATGTAGTCACCATGTGAGCTAGATTGGAAGGTGCCAATACAAGTTCTTCATCTGGGAGAATGTCATATGTGTCGTCAGGACAATAGAAGTGAATCCTGTAAATGCACCCCTGTCCTTTATACTGTGTTCCTTGATTTTTGCTACTACATTTACGTTTTATATTCAGGGTGTATTGCCTTGAGAATACTTTAAATCTACACTCAGTGCCATCTTTGACAGTCTAGATGTCATGGACTACAACTTCCATGATGCTTTGCCAGCATTATGGTTGTAAGAGCATAAAGGGACATGTAGTCTAAAACAAGTGCAGTGCTGAAGGTTGCCTATTCCTCCTGTAGGGACTATAAACATTTCTTATCATTGAGCTTAATATATTGCATGGTGTCACCTGGCACTGTCCTTCCATTCAGTGTTAAACCATTTTGACCAGAATGACGGTCTCTGTTTAACCTTGAATGGAGCGATAACACTAGTGGCCTCCACACACTATAACCACTTCACTGAGATGAAGCAATTACCGTACCAGTGGCGGATCCAGGGGGGGGGCAACAGGGCAATTGCCCCCCCCCGAGAAATCCGCCGGTCTCCCTCTCCCCTGCCAGCAGCACATGCAGGTGCTAGCCCTGCAATGTGCCTGCGGACCGGAGGGAGATCAGAGCTCTCCCTCCCCGGTCCGCAGGCACTGTGCTGACAGCCGGCAGGGGAGGGAGAGGGAGGACCCGGGAGCTCAAACTGCAGCTCCTCCGGGTCCTCCTCTCGCGAGATTTGGAGCGTTGCCGCGGTTACCACGGCAACGCTCCAAATCTCGCGAGAGTGAACTCTAGCCCGGGAGCGCGGGCTAGAGTTCACTCTCACCACTGGGACCACCAATGAATCACCACTGGGACCACCAGGGAACGAAATCTGTCCCCCCTCCTCCCCAGTAAAGGTAAGAAGGGAGGGGGGACATAGAATATCTATTTATTTTAATTAAATTAAAAAATATTATATAATAAAAAAAAAAGCCACCATACCCTGATCACACACACATACATTGCCCCCTATACTGCCCCCCCAATACACACAAACTGCCCCCCCATTCACACAAACTGCCCCCATTCACACACACTGCCCCCATACACACAAACAGCCCCATTCACACAAACTGCCCCCCATTCACACACACACTGCCCCATACACACAAACAGCCCCATTCACACAAACTGCCCCCATTCACACACTGCCCCATTCACACACACACTGCCCCCCATTCACACAAACTGCCCCTCATACACACAAACTGCCCCCATACACACAAACTGCCCCCATACACACACACTGCCCCCATACACACACATACTGTCCCCATACACACATACTGCCCCCATACACACACACTGCCCCCACACACACACACACTGCCCCCCATACTCAAACACTGCCCCCATACACACACTGCCCCCTATCACACACACACTGCCCCCATACACTGCCTGCCATACACACACACACTGCCGCCATACACACAAACTCGCCATACACACAAACTGCCCCCCATACACACAAACTGCCCGCCATACACACACACTGCCCGCCATACACACAAACTGCCCACCATACACACAAACTGCCCCCCATACACACACTGCTCCCCCATACAAACATACTGCCCCCCATACACACACACTGCAATACTCACACACACTGCAACTGTTACACACATACACTGCATCCCTGACATACACTGCCGCCCTCACTCACACACTACAACCTTCACACACACACACACACACTGAACCCCTTACACATTGCACCACTCACACACACCACTGCTCCTATACCTTACTACAGCCCCATTTCCCAGCAGATTTCAGGTAAGTTGTCAAACTGTTCTTAAACGGTTTGACTACTTACTGTGGGAGGGGGTCCCGGCACTATTGACACCATAACCACTACACTGAGCTGTAGTGGTTATTGTGTCTGGATTATTTCTTTAAATAATCTACAAGTGCCCCTCCCGAGATCAGGCTCTGGATCCGCCACTGTACCGTACCTACAGTTTAAGCAAATCATTTGACTTGCAGACTTTGGCCAAACTAGATGGCTGCATCTGTAATTATTTACCGTATTTCTGTTTGTTTTATTTTTAGAGAAGATTCAGAAATGCCCTTTATGCCTTTGTAATGGAGATGGCAAGTGCCACGGTAAGCCACATATAGCTAGATAAGATAATAGAAACAGAACATTCTTTTAATTTGTTTAAATTATTTCAACCCTTCTACAAACTGGAGAGAACTCCATTTTCTTTTAAAAACATTATAATTGTAATGCAATAACTCTATGCATTTTAAAAACCAATAAATAATAAACAAAAAATTACCCATATCTGAGTATTCCTGCAGTATAAGGGTACCATTAGGGATATTGAACCCACTATGCTTTCTTGGATTCCATTTCTGCTGCTAAAGATGGGTAACACGTTAAAACTGCTGTCATGTTGTATGTAAAATTCATTTACCATAAAAAAAAAAAATCATGTGTCTTAATACGTATAAAAGGTGGAGTTTCCGAGCAATATTTCAACAGATATTCTGCAAAATAAAGTATACAAACAATAGTGCAATACAGTATTTAAAAGCTTGAGAAGTAAAATAAAAGAGCAATATCACTCTGGACTATTATAGGATGTCCAGGTCCTTCTTTTCCAATGTGATATGTGCTTGCCTTTTCCCTGAACACAAGGGTAGCAGAGCACACATAGTGTCTCAAACCATTTTAAAATAACTCACAACCAAAACCCTGAAGGGATGTTTTTTAGTGCAATTAAACTCGTTAAAAAAGATTGGAGGGGAGGAGATTACATGAAAAAAATAGGGATGGAAGAAATGAAATGTATTTTTCATTTTAATACTATGATGCCGCAGGGACTAAACAACGATTTTGAATTGTGCCATTTTATGAATTAATTTTTTTATATCACCTCTTGAGTTTTAATAGAACTATTTTAGGATATTTTTATGGATTCAGTTTACAATTATTTTATCATCAGTTTGTGATATTAGTTTTAACAATTGTCAATCATTTTTTATGTGTGCAAATTTATATCATTGGCAATATGTATCCATTTGGAGAATATGTTATTTTCAAATATGAAGCATATATATGTCTTTGTAAATATTTCAACTATTGTGTATAGGACTTGTATAAGTTTATGAAACTGCAAATTTAACTTTTAGGATATTAATTTTCATTCTTATTATGATTAAACCTTTATTCCTATTATAATTTGAATATAAGCTCCATATATACGATGAGACTGCTAAATGTCAACAAAGTTTTCAGGATTGACTGAAAAAGCCGATCAGCAATGTCATACCCGGAAGTGAAATGATGGAAAACAACGTTGGAACGCACATTGCGTTCCAATAGACGCAATCCGGAAGCGTTGGAACGCACGTTGCGTTCCACTAGAAGCAACCCGGAAATGGAACTCACCTGAACATTAATTGATGAGCGGGCTATTTAAAACAAGGAACATCGAACGAACTACACGACAGCCAACTGAGCCTATTTTAGAAGGCGAAACGGGTTTTGGACACTGTTATCAACTATATAGTTTATCCAGATATTTAACTGGTATGATTTTATTATTTTTATATTTGAAATTTTATTCAGATCAATAAAGCTCCTTTTTCCTAAAGAAACCACTCTCATCTGGCATTTGTATACTTTGATGCCCGCCAAGAGGGAAAAGGCAAGCACATATCACATTGGAAAAGAAGGACCTGGACATCCTATAATAGTCCAAAGGCGCATACCATTTGAGTCATATGAGAGTATGACTCTAGGCTTGTGAGTGATATTGCTCTTTTATTTTACTTCTCAAGCTTTTAAATACTGTATTGCACTATTGTTTGTATATTTTATTTTGCACAATATCTGTTGAAATATTGCTTGGAAACTCCACCTTTTAAATGTATGTATATTATTTGTTTTTAAGTGGTGTAGGGGATACCACTTTTAGGTGTTAGAGTTTTTTATTAATTCACCTCCACTTTTGTGTACTTATTTTGTTATACTACATGTGTATTAATAAATTATTACAGTATTATGAAGCCCCCAGTAATGTGAAACAGAATCCCACTGTAATGTAGTAAGACTGTATTACAGAGTATTATTATAATATACCACTGACATGAGCATCACATGCTCTGTAACATGAGGGGTTAAGGAGTACAGAGCTTCTAAATAAAAACATCTAATATGCAACATATTATAAAAATGGTGGGATTGGAGGGCATTCAGTATATAGAAGGAGGTGCCAATGTTGTGTTTACCTTTTGATGCGACAAATAAATTACTATGGCACACTCCATACACACCATAATCACCTCATCTCACTGAAGTGGTTCTTAACATTGTCCCACTATATAGTATCTAACTGTTCCCATTCAGTTTGACACTGAAA